TTGGTTGCCTGATTTTTTTTTTTATTTACAGAACTTTAATTTCTACCAAGAATTAGCAGACATGCACATGCCACATGACTCGAGCAATTTAACTGGAGCTGTTATCAGTTAAGAAACACAATGAATCAACTTTTTCATAGCAATACATACAACAACAGAAGTTAGCAACATTGCAAAGAAGGCAAAGTTGTTTCATGATGGTAGTGTTGATCAACGCAGCCAGAAACACTCAGCACTTACAGAAACAAAGCCAGCACCACCACCAAAACCAAAACTAGTACCAATAGCCTGTCCCTGGCCAATCAGGATGAAGGGCTGTTAGTAGGAAACATCCATATGTTCAATGTGGTTCTCTCCAGACAGCCTATCCAACAGCTAGTGCCTGGATCCATTTTCCCCTACTGCTGGCACCTGGACATGCAAGCCTGTGAGACCCACAGCTATACTTCAGCTGCTGGCACAGTTCCCCCCACCCCACCCTTTTGCATACCAGCACACACTATGGATCCCTTGAGTAACTGGACTTAGATGCACAGCCAGCTCAGTAACTGGCCCATGGATTCTACCATCTGCATAGACACACACACCTTCAGGCCTTGTGGCCTGCCCAGTAGTTGACCTGGACTGCCTGGTGCCTCCACTATGCTCTTCCATTTGTCTCAGAGACATAGACATATCAGGCCCCGTCTTATGGATGCTTTGGTAACTGATGCTCAAGCCCCTTCACCTACTTGCTGACTAGATTCAGCTTGAAATTTGCTAGCAGTCGCATGGTGGTACACAGCCCCTCACCTGATCCAGTTGCTGGCACCACAGGCACATGGGTTCCCCTTATGCACGGTCCTCACTCCAGCTGCAGGTTCATAGATCCTCATTCACTCTTAGTTGCTGGCACCACAGGTACCATTGGCTATTGGCTATCTGACTCCAGTTACTGGCAATTAGACATCTATATGCACATATGTACACAGAATAGAGAATCCCCTCACCCAAGAAAATAGAAACAAAATTTAATAAGACAGGGCAGCTGACACTTGGGAAGTCCAGGGCATTGCCAAACAACAGTACAGACAAGTGATCAGCCTCTTGTCCCTCTTGTGCTTGTTCCTTCCCAGACCACCTACATCCCTGCCTTTGGTTCCTTCTGTATATGTATCTCATAATGTACAATCCCTAAACGCTCATGCCTGCATAGTCCTATAGGTAGTAGCCTGCATAGTAATCTGTAAGGAGCTAGTAATCTGTAAAGTGCTCTGGAGAGCCACTGACTCCTTTCAATGTGCTTTGACACCTGGGCAGTGAGGCTGATGGCTGTTCTGTCACAGCCCCAGGAAGGGCTGTGAGAGGCACCCCCTTCTCTCTGAGTTATTTGGGTTCCCCAACCTGCCATCATGACTTTGTGCTCATTTCTGTTTGTGGGGACAAGCTTTTTAATCACAGAAGAAATGGTAAGAGTTGCTGGACAATGACTGGCTACCACTTAATTTGAAACCTTGGAGACTGCCCTTCTTTTTCCTGGCAGTATTGACCCTGATGCTTTAGCTGCTCTAAATGGTGAATGAAAAGAGGAACATTTTCTTTCTCAGTTTACTACCACTGTAACAACTCTCTTCAAATAACCTAAATAACAGCTACCAGAACAATCCTGCCTGCACTTGGTTGTTTTCAGTATTCAAGCGCTGATCCATAGGTAATCCATTTCAGTGGTGACTGAAGTGAATTTTCTATACTAATATTATGTATGTTTCAAATCCAACTTGAGGCCATTTTACAATAAGACAAAATGGGGAAAAAATGTGGGTAAAATAGAAGTATTTGTAAAATGTTGACCAGAACACTGATCCTAATTTTCAAGTGCTCTTCTCATTTTTTTTCCTTCCTCAGCTTTCTTAATCTGATAAAAATAGAGCAGAGGCAGAAGGAAACAAAATTAACAGGATGAGTAAAATAAACAATTACAAGGCATTGTGCACAGGTTACTTCAGATATTAAGAATGCCTTTACTGAAGTTGCTTCAGTTTCTCTGCCTGCCTAAACCTATTATCAACAGAAAAAAGCATGATCCAGTTTGTCTTCAGGAGTGAAGGGATGGTTAAGGGCATGAATCTGTCTCTGGTGAATTTGGGAAGCTTAGCTAAATTACTGATGCAAAAGTAAATGTTGCAGTTCAAACAGATTAGATGCTGAATTATTTTCGAAATCCTGCTTGTTTAAAAACAGCTGTACTATCTGAAGTATAACAGTTCATTTTAAAATCAAGTGATTGTATTTAAATGTCAAGTATACGGTCTATTTGTTTATCTTTTGTTTTAAAAAATATGAATAATAGCAGATAAGGGTAATGCATGGAATGTCACTGACAAGTCTTTCTGGAACTATAGAAATACTACAACCACTAAGCTGCTTTCAAGTGATCCCAAACATACATCAGCATACTATACTGTATGTATTTTGTCTCAAATGGATGAGTTCAAAAGACCCACAAGCTCTGATAAAGGCATTTCTTTGCTGAATTAGCTTTCAGGTTGAATATGTGGTATTTTCTTAATAAGGGACTCACTGGTCATATATTGGTATCAAATGGTCTTCTGTTTATAAATAAATGTAAGTCTAGATATCTAGAGTTTATTTGTATTCCACCACATTGTGTGTAGAATTCCCAGCCCCTGCTTGCTTTTTTTTTTTTTTTTTTTTTTTTTTGGTAGTCATTAAATAACGGCAGTAATGTCAAATTCTTATTTTCATGCATGACCCTCAGTTAGACCCCGAGTTCCACAACTGGAATTCTTTCTTGGGTACAAACAAAATTGCCTTGGATGAAGAATGTAGTCTTGTCCACTATTATAAAAGCACTTAATGAGATGATTACAGGTACAGAAGCTATTTAGCTGGCTGACTCAGATAAAATATTCCATGCTAGCCAATTTCTGTTCTGCACACAAAATTCTCATGGCATTATAATGCTCACAAAACTCAAGCAAAAATGGGATTAAAGCCTGTATTTTATTTTCTGTACTATCATCTAGCACCAGGGACTGTTACAGAAAAAAATTGTCTTGTTGCCACAGTAACAATATAACAGATGGTAACAGGTTTTTGTTATCATTCCAACAAGGGTGTAAAACTGATGCTTCAGTTGACTAGCTTACCTGCCTTGAGGAGGGAAGACAATCTTGTGCTACCTGGAAGCAAGATCTATACGATTCATACTAGCAGCCCCAGCTGGCTATTCTTTCCTACTAGCCCTGGCACTCTTTATATTCTTGCATTCATTCCCGAAAACCCCTGCAGCCCTTGAGCCCTTAAGTGACCCATGGATGGTTGTGTAATCTCTCGATTTCATCATTTTGGAAATAAAGTGATGTAGACTGAGAATGAACTTCTGGTTGGAATGTGAACCAGAGCAGTAAATTGCAGTGAGCCTGAGTTAGTTTACATTATTAATAAAGCACTGCAGTGACTTAAATAGGAAGCTGAGGAAAGGAAAACAGGCTAACTAGAAGACCAGATTTTACAAGTCCCCTGAAGACAGATTTGGCAGAGGTAGCTGCATTTTTTTTTTTTTCCTTTCCTTTCCTCCCCTTTCCTTTCTCCATGCAGTCCTGGCTATCGTAGAACACCTAGTACAACCGGGAGAGAGATCAGCCTACATTTGGCATATGGACATGAGAGCAGGAGACCTAACTGATGCTGATGTAAATGGTCAGTTCTGAAAGCTTGGAACAGAAAGCCAGCAAGGGTTAGGTGGCACTCTGTCAGATCCATCTCAATAGGACTATCTCTACACGTTCAATCTGTGTGTAGTTACTGCAACAGCAGCTATCCATACAGAAAAGCTAGTCCAAATAATTGTATTCCTCGAGTAAAGACAACACTGTTTTTGGTTTATTTTAAAGTTGTGATACATAAGTGGAGTATAGGGTTGAGTGAGTATTTCTAAAGGCTCTACAGGAAAGTAATAAAAAAATCTTCAACTCCTAAAAACATAGATACTCGTGTCTTACATTCTTATAGGGCAGGAGGGTACTATCTCCCCTTCCTTAAGGGCTTTTTGAATGGAAAAAAAAAACCTTAATTTCTCCTTTAGTAATCTCTAAAGGTTCTACTTCATTAGTTTTTTTACAGTTTCCATAACCAGGGATGCTCAGAGACAAAAGGAGCTTTATCTGGCAGTCATACTACAAACAGTATATGGTCTCTCTATTCAGGAATAAAAGCTATCATGACACAACTATATTAAATTTCACTTAAAAGGCATTTCTAAAGAAGGTTGTCTAGTGTGTGAGCAGAGAGACCACCACTTCCAGTTCAAGAACAACTGGAGAACAGTGTAGCTGTAGGCTGTTTAGTTACATTTTCTTGTAGTTGCTAATCCAGCACCTCTACATTTCTAGAGCAGCACCATGCCTGGTTTATTGTCACATTATTCATTATGTGATTACGATGTTCTGAGTTTAATTAAATAACTTCAGTTCTCTGTTTCTTGAAAAATCATGGTATTATTGCTACTGGGAAGCTGAAGAATATTGTTATTTATGAGTAAAAGGTCCATATTTGCTTTTGAATGTAATGTACTTTAAACAATGTTTCATGTAGTGAATTACTTTCCTTGCAAGTAAAACATTTTCAACATCACTCAGAGAAGGTGAGAAGTAACTCAGGCTCTGAGACTGAGGACCAGTATGTGTTAAGTAGCTAGTTAAGAAGAAATTCATCCCTGACAGATCTCATTTGATGGATCATTATCATCATGACTATTCAAGGATCATACTAGAGCTCTCAAAATGTTAATAGTCAGCTTTACTGATTATTAAAACTTGGAAAATAAATGGTAAAGAAGAAATATAACCTGCTCAGAAGCAGGGAGCTAGCTGGTTGTTCAGAGTATTTTGCTGTAATTTATACATTCATTAGCAATTTGCTTAACATCTAAACTGTAAAATAACTGTTGGTAACAAAAGTTATCAGCAAATAGCATTTACTTCAAGAAATCCAGAAACTGATGTAGTAACACATTTATTGATCACTTTACCAACTAAAGATACAATTTTATACAGTCAGTCAACAGCAGTAACATACTTTATGAGAAGCTATGCTTTAAAAACGGTGTTTACAATATGGATTTCACTACAACTTTTCAAGCCAAGCTTTTACAGTGCTAATTAAACAACTGCTGTACTTTTTCCCTAAAACATCAACAATAATGTTGTAGACAAAGTAGCTTTTCCATTGTTAATGTGAGTTTAGAATTTAACAAGACAACTTTGAAAGTTTTAAAACATCCATAACATTGTCATTACTTTAACATTCACACTGATAAAGTGATACATTTAATACTTTCTAGCATTAATAAACAGTGTAAAAATATATTGCATATATATATATATATAAATTTGTTTCCTTTTCCTGAAAAAACCTAGTACAAACTAGTAGTATATGATCCCCCCTTCAAGTTTCTTTTACTTATTTTAAAGATTGAATAGTAGTAGTTTTAAATTAACAGAAACAAAGATATGGAAATAGAGAATCACTGTTGTGCTCCCCCATAACCTCTTGTCATTGTTACTAAGCATATTAACCCCTTGGTAATGGTGGTTCTGTTTTTGCTAACACCAGTTAGAATTTTGGCACTGACTGCAGTGGGGATAAGATTTTGCCCAATGTGCTTCGCACTGGATGGTGCCTGGCCCCCTTCATCAAGTGGTTAAAAATCTTTGCTTAGAATATGTTTATCTGTTATAGTTAAGATTAAGTAATGCTATGCTCAAGTTGTTCATTTGCAGTAATGAAAGAAAAGGTTCAGTGTTAAATCAGTGAGAAAAAAAGTAAACTTGTAAGGTTAAATGATCATGTAAATTTTTTACCATGTTGAAAATTTCACAGTGAACACAGTAGGCTAGTACAGCTGAATGTTAATGTTTGCAATGCCTGCAATTATAAATATTGCAGGCAATTATTAGCACACAGCAGCTTCCTGGTTTTCTGGACCAAGATGAAAGACAAATGAAAATAATAACAAGAAATAGTAAGATTCACTGAAGGTTTTTAATCATGCTGTACAGTGCTCTCCAAGGAAGACTACGTCAAGACCTATCTCCATATCACAACTATTTAATGATTAAATTTTTATTAGTGCTCTAGGTAATCAAAGACAAAACAGTTTTGCCTCTACACCTTATGATCAGGTCCTGACAGCATGCACATCCAGATTTGTGCAAATAAAGAATCAAAATATCTAAATCAAATTAGAAATGGAACAGCATGGACAGATACACAAACTATCAAAGGAATAAAGCATAATGTGGATAAATAAATGGTTCATGACTGAAGAAAACCAACCTCAAACATTCAAAAATTATACTTCTGTATAAATATATATTTCTCCTGTAATATTTAAATCTGTGAAACATAAAACCTTGCTAAGAATAAACTTCAATATACTTATCCAACATTGACCATTTCTCTGCCTTACAGAATGTAAAGACAAATTACTTTGTATTACAAGTATTATACAAAACATTTTCCCTGCTGCAACAGTTTGCCAAAGCTGATATATTTTGAACCCAGCACAAAGATAAACACAAACACGCTTTTGCTGCATCCTATAACTTTGTTTTTGTCTAGGACTTTGCCATTTCATACACTACAATGCTAACAGAAGTAGTTTGCCAACAGGATTTTATACAGGACATCAAAGTTTGTAGGTTAACTGACCTTACACAAAGCATTTGTAAAGAGCTAGTGTGTATTTAGCATGAATATTACAGACATACAGCATTTCAGTTGCATTAATATAACCCTATTTAACAGATCCCAGGCTGCATTATTTCACATTATTTAACTACTTTGTTTGAAAATAGCATTTGAGCAAATGCATACAGAAACTCATCTGATGTAAACTGGAGCTTAAAATAATTCACCATAGTGGGGATACAGATTGCCATTATTTTTTTTTATTTTGTTGATCATTCATAATATAGCTCCCAATCAAAATGTAAAAATGGATGAAGTATGAGTGTATTTCTAGGGCTACATTTATAGTTAACTTAAATGTAACTATTCACATTTGTGATCTCTTCTGAAAAATGTGCAAAGTAATAGAAATAATCAAGATAACTGAAGGGCAAATTATCACGAGCACTACCTTTAAGACCTTTACAAATGCTTACAACAAAATTTACTTTGTACAGTGCCATAAGCTTTACAGTAACTCACAAAAAGAGATGCTGTATAACTATATTTGAAAATTAATTAATTGGCTGTTTACCTCCAATGGAAAATGGTGGGTGCTTAAGTTTTTTCCAAATCAGGTTAGTCAGTTGGGCATTTCAATGTCAATTTCCAAATGTAAAGTATTAAAAAAAAAAAAAAGGAAAAAAAAAAACTGAGGGCTTTTCTTGCCACTCATGTATACATACGCCCCAAAGTAGTGCATGTGTGCATACATGTGCACACATGCATGATTACAAAAGATAATTTATTTTTTAAAAAATCATTTCAGGCTACCAGTATTGCAAATACCTGTCAAGAATACCGAGGAAATAAACTGGGTTTTTTTCCCCTTTTATTTATTATCAGGCTTGCTCTTGATGAAGACTACCTAGAGTACATGATCAATTAGTTTGAATGAAACAAGCCAATTCAAACATTTTATGAGAACAAAGTAAAGAGTTATATCTTAAAGTTGTTTTGAAATCCACCTTCTCCGTACGAAATTTTGAAGCAATATAGCCAAGGTAATATACTGAAAAACATTAAAAAAATACGAAATATATTAACAGTTATTTCTCCCTGCAAAAACGAATTACTTGGACAATTAAGACATGGAGGTTCTATCTGCAATATTCTTTAGCTTCCTAAAGCACCATTCCTAGCTGGGACATCTTTCAAAGCATTGTTTTTGAGTTTAATGAGCAAGAATGAATGCAACTAAAGGCATCTCACCAGTTTTAGGTTTCTGAAGACTTAAAAAGAACATCCCAATCCATCATTTCCAGCTTATATTAGGTAAACTAAATGGGCACTTAGGTGCACAAAATTAATAACTGAATGGCTAGATGCTATTTTATGGGCAAACACTCCAAACAAATACAGGAGGTACACATGTATCAAGTTGAGGCACTCCAGACTATGAGAACTTCACACGAGTTTGAGATCTGTCACTACGCTTCAGGTATTTCATTTTATAAAGGTTTATGCCAGACTCAAGTCCATAGGTATTGTACAACAGTTCTGTTTCCTGTTCCCACCTCAACATACCATGACTTTGTATGTACTAACTGACGATGAACAACTACGTGTATACATAGTGAGTGTCAACTTGCTTCAAAGTTGGGACAAAGGAAAATACAGGGGCCATCCAGGACATAATTTTAAATGGTCTCTTGAGAGCACTCAGAGGAAATCTTGCTTTCACCCTGACTCTCTCTTGCTTACTTCCTCACTGTGGAAAAAACTCTTCTTGTGACATGAAGTCTAAAGTTAGAATCAATAGGGTAGATGTGTAAAAACATAAAAGCCTCCTTAGATCTTTACCTTCATGATATGGAGGGAGAATGGCAGTGTCACCAACTGGCCAAGCTGAACAGCACTGGCTGCAGGACTAGAGTTTGGCCCTAGTTAGATTTAAGGTTTAGATCAACATATATATGCTTTAATTACTTAGCTGGATGCAAGGAGTATGTGTACACACACGCAAACCTGTACAAGTCCTGTGTATTACATTACTTATTACCAGCTAATAGGCAAGCTAAGAACCTAATATTCACACTACAAACAGTGTATACAAAGGTGTAGTTATTTTGGCACACACGCAAGGCTAACAGTCAGTTAAGAGGACAGGTACTAGTGCAACACATTACATTTGCTCTATCATGAAGGTAAAAGGTTTGTTTCTTGGCCAGTGCAAACAGAATTCTCATTCATGGATGACAGTCACATGCCCCCAGAATACATGCATCACTGAAAGGCACGGTTATGTTTTGAATATTATACATGCAGGCACAAAGAATTAAAATTTATAATTATGACAAGCCTTAAGGAAAAAAACTATCAATTACAACTTTAAAGTTTTGGTTTTGGAGAAAGATACACAAGGACTTTCTCTACAGATGATTACAGATGGCTGGGAAACCTATCACTTGCAAGCCAAACCCGTAACAGTCTTTGCCTTTTAGTTCTGGCTAATTCCAGTACCATAAAAAAAAAACAACGTTAATTGAGACAATAGAGGGAAAATATGTGTGACTGAAATGCTAATTCATGAACAAAGCTTTCTATAATGCTGAAAAGTTGTTAGAAGAATTTTTAATTTAGGCAAGGTCAGTAAAATACATGGAAAATATCATACTTCAATCCAAAATAACCTTTGAAGGCCAGTCTCTGTGCTGATGAAAAACACAAGTTTTGACATGTGATTAGTTTTGAAATCTCCTTTTCCCTTCTCTAAAGTGAAAAAGAGATAAGAAATATCATAGCTTTTTCTAAAAAAAGTGGATAGATCCAAATATTTGTTTACAGTTAATGGCAACTGTTCACATAGGACTGTTGAAACAATGTATGGTTTTTTAATGCCTGCTTCTCAGTGACACTACTGGGATAGGTTTGATAGCCGTAAAATACAGGACAGTAGTTTTTGTTTCTGGCATTTCCATATCGGTAAGGTTGTTGCATAACTCTTTACAAGTAACTAAAGCACATGGAGTGACTAGAGGGAAGGAGTTAAGATGCCCAAAAAAAGGAGATGCTTGTAAAACTTACTAGGTGCCCATGTCCTTACTTCAGACATGACATTTAGTTACAGTCTGGACTATGGTGCACAGGAAGAGCATATGCTCAACAACACTTCAAGGGTTGAAAAATGGGTCACTTCCTGCACCCCCTGAGCTGTCCCCTCCCCTCATCTCTGAGGTACCAGCTGTACTTGCTGTCCTGAGAGTTAAGGGAATGTACTTTGCCTCATTCCCAAGCAGGCCTGGAACTTATGGCTAACATTAAAGCTAGTATTCAGGCTTTTAATTTCCTACAGATATTAGTGGAAAAGTAAAAGCTTAAGTAGGTGGTTGAACCCCTAATTACACAGCTGCATTTGGTGCTTTTATTCATATCCTTTATCTTCCACACCAAGTGTAGTAAAAGGGGAAAATCTTTCCAAAGTACTATCTTTCCAGCCACAAATTCCCTTTGTCACTGTCATATCAGAATGATTTCTTTTCATACATCTGTTTGATTGAATTTTTAAACTATCCAACTGTAGAAACAAAGAAATAACAAAGTGTGTTCCTCAAAATAAAATACTGCTATCTAAGGCATCTTCTCAGGTCCTGATCCACAGCTTATTATGCCAGCAAAAGTATTTCAAAGAACTTTGCATTAGGTCTATACAAAGTACTTTGGTTCATGGCATGGATTTTGTACTGTACAAGTAATGTAAAGTAAACTCTGCCAGAACTCCATCTAGTTCGATCAGCCTCTTCTATGCAGAGTAGCTCAATTTTTAGTCAGTGCCAGCTTGGATCTGCCTGCATTCTCAATTCCTTTGCATACCTGGGCTCTCTCACACTATGAACTAGTACCCTAAAGCTTTCCTAATCAATCACTCTTCCTGTGCAGCAACAGTCTGGCATTACGACACTCAGTATTTGCCTACTTGAGAAAGCCCGACACTTGTGCATCTCAGGTTAAGTATCACTTGATGTGCCAGACAAGGCACCTTGCTAACAACAAACAGCCAGACCAAGTGCGCCGAAAGGGCTCTGCAGCAGACTGGACTTCATCTGGGCTTGGTCCAGATCTTTTCAGCTACCAGTGAGCTATGAGTCAAGTCTCAAAGTCAATGAGAAGAATAGGAACATTGGTTTTGCCTGTAACTTAGCTGAAGGATTTATCAAGGGTTAGAGGCTTAGTCTTTTTATTCATAACAATGAATAACCTGGAGCCTTCTTCAGGTGCACAAGCACCAGTGATGTAGAAGAAGGCTCTCTACATTTAGACAGTTCACCATGCTGGAATAATTTATCCACTGTTCCTATCACGGTATTCTATTTTCTGCCTCAGAGTTTGACAGGTCACCAGTGCAATGCAGGAGTGGATAAACATCCATTCCATGGAAATTTTTCTCCAAGAACAATAGGTAACACTTGGAAAGGTTTCACAAAGCTGGATGCTTCTCATCCTGAGCATCCTTACATACATCAAAAATCCTCCCAGGTAACCAGAGCCAACCACAGGAAAAACCATTTAAATCTTTACAAGAACATGTACTAAGTTTTGGCAAAATTCCCTCCCTCTTCAAAACAAAACCTAAAATAAATTATAAACAAACAACCCAATCTCCAAGTCCACAAGGAAGTCCTTGCCTTTGTTTGCTATTGTTGTTTTGGTTTCATGCTGATGTCTGGGCTCAAAGGGTCACTGGAGGCAAAGTTACAAGAAAGGCTACCATTCAATGTTAGAAAACCAAAACATGAACAATTTAAGGGCTGAAAAATCAGTGCTCTGTTTCCAGACATTGGTCAAATACGGACTTCTGACCTGCATGGCACACAGCAGCACACACTGCTCACTAAATTTTTTGTACTGAGCGGGATGCTGATACCTGCTGATGCAAGTTGGGGGAGAGCAATTAATTTATTAACCTTTATTCAGAGTTACACATGAAAATCAGTGCGTGAGATCTTTTCAGAAGAAAGCAAAGCAGAATTGCTAGCAGCTGGTTTTGAATACTGGAAATCTTGTCTTTCATAATTTTAGAGAAGCAGAGTAATACATTAGGGTTACTTGTTCAGCTCTTGTGGAAAATTGGACCAGCCTTTTCTCTCCTTTTTAACCAACACAAAAATCAAGTTATTTTTATTCCTGTTAACCTGTTTTGTCATTCTGGGCCCCAAGCAGGTCAGAAATAGCTGCCTGTACCTTAAGTCTGTGGAACTGGTTCTCATTCTACAGCAGTGGAAAGCCATTCCCATCAATACTATTACTCCCAAGTTAGGTAGTAAGATCAAACAGAGAATCAAATCACTTGGCTTCAAACAAATCTAACATAAAATGTAGCCCAGTTATAAAAGTACATTTTTGTGGGCAAATTGCATCTAATTACATGGATATTAACTGTAAATGCACTTATTTCAAGGCGCCATAAAATTTCCTTATATATGTTATAGTTTAAAGGGAGTATGTGCCAATGCACGTGTATAATAACATTAACTTAATAGCAATCTGATTGGCAGTGTTTAGTCATAATCACTACTTTAAAGCTTTATTAGCTTAATGTCCCTTAATTTCAAATGTGAGGCAGTGCAAACTTGAAAACAGACTGAAAAAGCTTTAATTAACTTTTTTAGTAATGTCTTGTTTCTCACCTCTCAGGTTAGTACAATAGCTCTGTCCAAATCCAGCCAGTCAGAACCATGCTACAGTACACACAGTAACAAGCACAAACTATAGACAGGAGGAAAGTAAGGGCTGGTATTTTTCACCTCTTTCTGTTGACATAATATACTTTAGAACCTATACTGTCTTAGAAATAACTTTTTTGTTTTTCAGTTTTTCATGAGTGGTGTATGACATTTACAGGCTAGCACCGTGTATATTACAACCACTTACTCCCCAATAGTATATTGTTGAATGTTTTAAAAAAAGTGCCAAATCCCATATAAGACATTTTTTAAAAGCCCCAAACTGGTAGTCAAATCAAGCTGCACAAATAATGGGATATTCTTCAGAAAGACTGCAATGAAAGACCCTTCTTTTCAAGAGGTTCTCTCTGACATCCTCAGGGCAACTGGACATTTAGGAATGTTTGAGATCTTTTGCTTGAATTGACAAAGTGTGGTATAACTGCTCTTGACTTTGTTGTGGTGGGTTGGTTTGTTTGTCTAAAGCTCAACAAAATTATGTATTTTTTGTACCAATATATTTATTTTTGCCAATATACACATGAGGAATGTAATGAAGTGGCTTTATGCTGCGAGTAGCTCAGCAGATGTTGAAATCAGTTCCAGTTCCTGAAAACAACTTCTTGACAACATAGTCTTAGCATTCACAATAACCAAAACATGTGGGATTCATCTACATCATTCTTACAAATATATTCTCTTTCCCCCTCTTTTTCTCCCTCTGTGTTGTAAACCCTCAGCCTTATTTGCTTCCTTGTACTTTATGATCATATGTGCCTGCATGCTTATATCCAGATACATATCCTGAAGCATCCACCAGATCTTCTCGGCCAGCTTTGCCTTTTCCTTTGCCACTGGGATCAAACCTCTCTTTGTGAGAACCCGTGAACTTTGATGTATCTGTAAGGCGTGATACAGTTGGAGATGAAATTGCTTTCTATTGGAAGAAAAGAAAAAACCACATCAGAAATCAATTATTCTTAATACAGATATCTGTACATGCTACTGACATTTAAATCTTTGCTAATGATGGAGACTACATAAATATCTACTCACTTCCAGCAAAAGAATATAAAAAATGTTGGTTTCTTGCCATTACATACCAGGATAGTAATCATATAGCCAAGAACAAAATAGCACAATTTATGTCAAAAACTTTTGGACAAGACTTTCAATATGAGATACTTCTGTTTATTAATCAAGTTCTAAGCATCAAAGATACGAAGAAGTCATAGGAAACAGCCCTGTTCAAAATCCATTATGTCAACATCCAAGCATAAAATCCTGGCTCCACCAATAACAGGAGAAGCACAGCAATACAGCCAGGATTCGCTGCTTCAAGAGACAAATTTATTCTAAACTAGGATTCATGAGAGAAGTAACAAAACAGAAAAATGGAAAGTTACTTTCGATGTTAGCTAATTAGCAGTCTATGAAATGGAACTAAGCAAAGACTTTCTTCTACATTGTTTCCACTGAGCCATATATCAGGCTGATTAAAAATCAAAGTTTTGCTGTCATTGAGAAAAAAAAAAATAAAAAATTACACAAACAGAAAGAAAAATATATTTCACAGAACAATATAAAAGAATGCTAACCTGTGTGCTTGGACTGGGAACAGTCTCTCTGATCCTTAAGTTTACTTTTTAAAATCAGAAAAGAAAGGACACTAAAGGAGAAGGGATACCACAAAAAATTTTTGTGTAGCACTGGAAGTCTTGGGTATCTTTCTTATGTGTGCCACTCTGTTAGTGTGCGTTTTAGAAACAAAATTGACATGGGCTTCACTGCAGTGAAGTAAATGCTCTGGTAATCTGTCTCATCAAAAACCTCATTCTCCCTCTACCCATCCTCAGCCCAAATAAATGCTTATTAATGAGACCTAACAAATGTGCTAACACACAGCTCTTCCGCGGGACGACATATGTTGAATATCTTTTAATGCTGAACATTAAGAGATCAGAGACTTAGAAAAGATGCTTCAATCTGTACCAAGAGGATGACAACACTTGAATTCAGTTAGAACGGGAATGAATGCTATAAACTGTACACCATGGAAGCCGTATGTCCCCCACACCATTTAAATAAAAGCTGTTTTGAGGGAATTTGTTCACATACATAACTACTTAATGAGAATCTCAGGTTGTATATTTCTACTTTTCTCCCTCCAAACGTACCCAGCATGTGAAATACTGCACTGTTCTGCAACATTACTTTCACATAAGGCCCTGAAGGGAAAGGTGGTGTGGAAGTGAGAGTTCTGTCACTATCTGAAAGAAAACAACCACTGCAGCATTCATTTCTCAAAACAGCATTACTGAATGAGCTTTATGGACTCTTGCCTTGCAGTCTCAGAGTACTATTTGCAGAAGCAGTTATTTTTCTATATCAAAAACCAGAAATTAAAACAATGCTTAGGAAGAAGTATTGCTTCTTAATACATACAGGTTTCTTGTCTGGTCTGCTAGCACCTTATAACCAGGATACACGTATTCACAGTAATTCAAAAAATTACACCCTGTGATCAGTAATCGTGTTAGCAGCCCAGCTAGATAAAATGAAAATGCAATAAAAATGTATAAGCTGAGACATCAAAAGGAGCAAAGTAAAAACTCCCAGCCTCGTGCCTAGCTGAGAACTTACTCTTTCTGTTCCTCGAGGTATTAGTAAATTGAACGAGTTGTACACACAGTCAAACAACAGCACCATTCTCCCTCCAAAAGAACATATTATGCTTCTTAATAAAGGCATTTTCTTAACTATTAGCACTATTATTGTGTGTTCTTAACAAACTTATGAAGAAAATGAAGATCCCATCTGTGATTCTCCCCATGTAAGCCAGCAAGGAAAAAGCTAGGGCACAACACTTGCCAATGTATCTTTCACCATCCTTAACATCAGGAGAAGCTGCTATAGAAGCTGCAGGAAAGCTTATCATATAACCAAAGGACTAAACTTTGCTCTATGTTTACTTATATAACACTATTGCTAAAAGCTACAGGAAGCTACCAGTGTTGTATTGTAAACATGGAAATACTCCAAATGCAAGACAGGGGCAATATTCAGTATAATAAACTTAACACATATTTAATTTCCTTGTATTTCATCACCACTACTTTACAGAAAATCAGTTTTCTCTAAATGTACATGTAGAGAGAAGTCTCAGAAAGTCTAGTTGACTGTCTTTTCCTTTACCAAATGAGTTCTCATGACAGACTGCTGTTCTGAGAATTTGTAATATTAAGTTTAAGCACTGTTTGGAAAAAGAACGACTACAACTTCTGCTCCTCTGTTTCAAAGCAGTGGCATGACAGTATGAAATTTGCATCAATACCCAAATTACAATAAAAATAAATAAGAATTTTGGTACAGTAACATAATTATAGCAAACATACTAAGACTTGTATGAATATGAACGTATGAAGTAGGAATATGAATGACAATATGAAAGGAAATACATACATACATATATATATATATATATATAAAACACCCAAGAAGAAATAGTAAAATGAGGATTAATGGAATGGCCTGTGTTAATAATGAGGGGCACTCTCAGGAAACTACTCCCAGGATGTCCTTCCCAGTGGTAAGCTTGAGGTATGTGTTGTTTATATCAAGACACTCTGCACTGTGGTAAGACCACAACACAGATGACTTATCAGGAAAAAAAGGTGCATCCTAACAAGACGATAGCAACAAGGTTGAGGCATGCCACATAAGCCTTTTCTTTTCCTGTTAGTCTGCTGGGGAAACAGTGACATATTGCAAAACAACATGGCAAACAGAGAATGGGCAACAGCTTGCCCTACAATTTATGGAGACTGAACGAAGGACCAGTCTGTAACAACTACTGATTCTTAAAGGTCATGAAACATTTATGCAAAAAATAGTTTGTCTTTGCCAATCATGAAGAACCCAGGAGACACAGTGATGTCTCAGTAGTGAGCATCTGTTGTCCTCTGTGTCCCACACACAGAGGGGATGAGATGTGTGTGCCAAAATGTGACCAATTTGGCACACACATCTTCATGCTTGACTGTGAGAAAGTGAGTGAATGAAATCTATCAGAAAATAGGTACATGCAAATGAGAACCACCTTATGAGAGACTTTGTAAATAAATTTTACCTTCATTTTGTATTGAGAGGGGGTTTTGGGTTTTGTTTGTTTGTTTTCCCCCACTACTTTCCCTTGATACTTTTCCATTTGGAATTTACTAGTCATCTGTCTACAGATTTCACATCCACTACTTCCTCCGAGTGTCTAATAACATTGTTATGTTCTTTGGTAAAGACCTGTGCTAGGACTAACATGAAAACATTTTTTTATAACACATACTTCATATGCTAGAGTCAAGTGTGTTCCCAGTGCAACAACAATAGAGCAAATGGTTAAAATACAGAAAAAAAACAGGTGTATGGTTTAGCACTCCTTTGACATATCTCAAAAAACAAAAAACCAAAAAAACAAACCACACATTTAGCAGACAATTTAGGACAATCATTCAGATCTTTGGCTTTCATATCTATTAATTGAAAGTTGATATGTGTTTGTGCAGGGACAAAGAAACATCAACATTCTAAGTAAAGGTAAATTAATTACAGATTAAAAAAATACAATATTTTTGTCCTGAAAAACAGTTAAACAAAACCTAAAGTCCCAGCACAATGAACATCACAACTGCAGAGCAAGAACAACAGTGATCCCATATCCTGTGTTCTTTCAGCCCAGGATGTATCAGAAGGCTTTCTGCATCCCAGGAGTCACAATATGCAAAATTAACATTACAGTACCTGCAAGGCAAGCATGTTTTCTCCAAATTGTTTCTAACTGAGTAAGAAATGCAGTCTATTCCTAAGTTGGATGTGAAGTCACTGGTGCACCCCTTCCCACATGTGACAAATGGAAATCCCTGTTGGTTACTAGCTGGCACAATTTCTATGAGATGTGAGATTCGCTTTGTTTCCAATTCAATTCAATTCAAACAATTTTAATTCCTTGTAAAATATGATCTCACTCCCTGAACTGATTCACTCATATAAAAGATCAGAGTTAATGAGATGCCACCAAAAGGCTATGCAGAACACCCCACTTCTCCTTTTATGTTTCTTATGATGAAGACGTATCTATTACAAAGAAAATATTACATCCTCTTTAAGGTCGTGTGACCATTACAGAGAAGGGCCAGGTGCAATCTAAGCATCCTTCTAAGGTGCTTCCTTTCAAAAAAGCCTTTGTAAAACAGAATACAAGGACTTCATGTCTGGTTTGGACTCCTCAACCAGAAACAGCTAGTGGTACTATATATCACTGAATCATAGAAGGGCCAGGGCTGGAAGAGATCTCTGAAGGTCATCTGCTCCAAACTCCCACCCTCTCACCTAGAGCCAGTTGCTCAGGCTCATGTCCAGATGGCTTCTGAATATCTCCAACAATGAAGACATAACCACCTCCCTGGGCAACCTGTGACAGTGCTTGGTCACCTTCATAGTGAAAAGGTGAAGGTGTTTCCAGAAAAGTGTTTCAGTTTGTGCCCACTGCCTTTTGTCCTATCACAGGGCAGTACTGAAAAGAGCCTGGCACCATCCTCTTTGCACCATCCCTTCAGGTTTTTATATACATGGATGAGATTCCCCCTTGGGCCTTCTCTTCTCTAGGCTAAACAGTCCCAGCTCTCTCAGCCTCTTTTAACAGGAGAGATGCTCCAGACCTTTAGTCATCTTCATGGCTTTTCACTGGACTCCCTCCAGTAGCTCCATATCAGTCTTCTACTGCGGAGCCTGAAATTGAACATAGCACTCCAGATGTGACCTCACCAGTGCTGAACAGAGAGGAAGGATCACCTCCCTTGGTCCGCTTGACAATACTTTGCCTAGTGCAGCCCAGGATACCATTAGCCTCCTTTACCACAACGGCACATCGATGTCTCATGTTCA